TATAAACTTGCCAACACCTAGGTCATTAGAAGAGGCGGAGACAATGTTGTGTAATAGACCTCTTCCTACAGAAGAAAACCCGATTGTTCACGATAGTGATGATACACCCGTGAATCTTTTTGTATCTATGTTGATTGAAGGATCAGCTTCGGCTTTTTACTAATTCAAATCAGAATTATAAAAAAAGAATCGAAGACAATTACACAATATAAACTTTATCGCTGGTTAAACTGCAACTCAAAAAAAAAATTATATTAATTTTTTATTCTTCTTTTTTATTAATTTCGATAGCAATATTATGGTATCTGAAATAATTAACTTTTTAATTGATATCTAAATGTTTATCTTTATTCCTGTCATATTCTGAAAAGGATTAGTATCATTAAAACATTATTATAAGTCTTTATTCACGAAACATCCCATTTATTAAAGGGAAATTAAGATTAATTAAGGTTCAATTAAATTAAGATATTTAAGATTATTTATTTAGTACAAATTATGCAATATTATGTAATATTATTGAGCTTCCTTAGTCAAATGAGTTATTGAGAAAATAAAACAGAAATTCCTTGGATTATTTCTTCGAATTTAAAAAGATATAGTATAAAATTAATAAATTAATTTCACTATTTTTCAATCATTTCTTAATTATACTGAAAGATGTTATTTTAATTGTTACAAGTGCAATAGTACAATAAAAATGAATATTCAATGATTACTCTAAAAAATTTTCATAGTGTACACTAATGACATGTTCTCGTCTTTAATTACGCAAACCAAAATATAATAAATCAATAAAGGATTGGTTAAAATTAAATTCATTCATCGCATCAAATACTAAAATCTATGACAAGAATCAATTTTGATCTGAGATCTTAAATATGTGAGTTATATGGCTCTGTCCCACACATTCATTTAAGAATTGGATCTCGTTGATATGTCTAAATTTGAACAATTTATATTTGAGAACATCAAGCACAAAACACGCACTTACTGATGTAGTGGAACGATCCGGATGATCTGTTTAATCCGCCCATCCGTGAAACTATCAAAATTTTTATCCGTTTTAGTCTATCTGATTTATCCGCGGATTATCCATCAATCCGTCCAATCCGTAATTATTTTTTATAGTTGAACTTTTTCAAAAAACGAAAATAATTAGTGACTATTGCATTATATAAAAAAAAATTTATTAGAGAAACATCAAAAATGATCTTAACGAATTTTAAAGCCAAAAATAAAATGCACCTATTCTGGAAGACTTTAATAATAGGTGTATTTTGTTTTTGGCTTTAAGATTCATTAAGACCAATTTTGACGTTTTGCTAATAAAAAAAATTTTTTATACCACAATCGTCATCATTTATTTTTGCTTTTTTTGTTAAAAAAAACCATTCTTAAAGTTTAATTTTTTTAAAAAAACAAAAATAATTAGTTATCATTGCAACATGTCAAAGTTTTTTTCATTAGGGAAACTTTGAAAACAGTCTTAATAAATCTTAGAGCCAAAAACAAAATTCACCTATTATAAAAGTCTCAGATCGATTCCTTAAGAACTGAGCGATTACAAATGTTTTAATTTTCAAAAATAATTTTAAGATTTTACAATTCTAAAGTTAAAACGTTTGTAATCACTCAGTTCTTAAGGTCCCTGGTAAATATATACACAGATAGCAAGTGTGCTATAGATAATATGAACAAAGTCAATAAAGGAAATATAAATTATATATGGAATAATGTCAAAAATCCTATTATACTTCAGACTATAAAAGAAATTATAGATGAATTGAAACT